ATCATAACATACTATTATCATCACATAACACAATATAATCACATCAACACACCATAACATACTATAATCAATCACCATCATCACATATACAATGTAAATCACATCATAATTCACTATAATCACATAATAACACTATAATCACCATCACATACCATAACATACTATATAATTATCACATAACACAATATAATCACATCATAACACACTATAACCACATTATCATATACCATAACATATTATCACCATCATCACATAACACAATATAGTCACATCACAACACAGTCATCACTACCATCACATATCATAACACACTACAATTGCAACCATCAGTTATCATTATACACTGTATTCACCATCATCACATACCATAACATACTATAATCACCATCATCACATAGCACAATATAATCACATCACATCATAACACACTGTAATCACCACAATCACATATCACAACAAACTATAATCACCATAATCACATATCATATAGCACACTATAATCACCATCATCACATATCATATAGCACACTATAATCAACACTATCAGACACCATAACTACACCATATACTATAATTATACTATACAACATACTATAATTACCATCAACACATCATAACACACTGTAATCACCACAATCACATATCACAACAAACTATAATCACCATAACCACATATCATATAGCACACTATAATCACCATCATCACATAACACATTATAATCACCATCATCACATATCATATAGCACACTATAATCAACACTATCAGACACCATAACTACACCATATACTATAATTATACTATACAACATACTATAATTACCATCAACACATCATAACACACTGTAATCACCATCAAATAAGAATACATGAAACAAAATATCACAAAAACTAAGCACATGAATGAACATCACGTCAACCCGTATTCTCATCTCCTCAAACAGATGACAGAAATATCAACACCAGGAAACAAACATTCAGCGGTTGGTTGATTGACTGATCAACAATGATTACCTTGTGTGTTAAATCCTGATTATAAGCGACGCCCGCTGCGCTGCTCTGATTCTGATCCATCACTGAGCGCTCGCCCTCGCCGATGACGAAACAACACAGAGACCCACGTCACACCCGTTCTGCACCTCCTTCGTTACATTTGGCAAGGTTAATAATAACAAATGACAGACACACTGTTAGATTTCATGGAGGAATTGTTTTCTTCCCCCACTGTAGTCCTTGATGTTGTCCTAAGGAAGAAGGACGATCATTTGAACTATGGTTTAGTTGTTTATACAGTATGTATGTATTTATTATTTATTTATTTATTCTTTCTTTCTCTCTTCTCTTAAATGCAGTCTTACAGAGTAAGATTGTTCTTCTTTCTTGTGTATGTGTGTACTTGTTAGATATATTATTATTATTATTATTATATGCAACAACAACATTAACACCGACACAAAACACAATGATAGTAAATGCTCACAATAGCATAAAAAACTCAGACAAATGAACAGATGAGTTTTAATGGTGCCCACTAGATGGAAGCACAGACTACAAGAAAAAAAATAAAAATTGTGTCACTGAGCACCTACTTTCTACTGAGTGTAGTAAGTAAATATTCAAGTAAAAATTCATTTAGTTTGTTACATTTACTAATTTACTTACTCTGTCCTTCCAAAACCGTATGAATAAATAAGAAATGATGCAGAAAACACCAGTCTTTCTTTCCTTATATTGAAGATAAAAGGACTCGGACTGTCCAGCTAAAAATAGAACAAAAAAAGTATCATGAAAATAGTTCATATGACCTTCCAAGTCATCTAAAATCACATGATTTTTATGTGATGAGCATAATGCAGAGATACCATCGAGCATCTTGTCAGTACCATGTTTTACATTCACTTTTATGCATTTGGCAGAGCCTTTTGGCAGTGCGTTCATACTTTACTATATCTAGATTTGAGGATTTCACTGCATGTTCTAGGACAGGAGCTGCCAGTGTTTCTGCCAGAGGCCAGTAGGACACAATGTTCCACATCAGTTAGATGAGTGACAGTTTGCCTTCTGATGGGTTACTTTAAACACAGCGTGCTGTAAACCCCGTCTGAACCCAGTTCTGCATCACAGCAGGACCTTCATGACCCGATACAGAACAGAGAGATGATGTCCTTCAGAAGCAGGTTAGGATTGGGTTCTTGTACTAGTCTCTTTTCAACTATCATGCATGACCTAAAGTCACATCAAAGCCACATCATCATCAGAGTATTTTCTATGATCTGACATTGCTCTCATAGTTTCCAAGCAGAGCAGCAGTTCATGCAGACGTCTGCGGTCAAATCTGGAAGCAATTCTGAGCCTGAACTCTGAAACCTGGAACCAGCACACAGATATTAGATTTGCATTGCCTAACCCACGGGGTATTTGCATGCAACTAAATGGCAGAAAACATTCATTTATGTTAATATTTCTGGATTGCACACTGGAACATGTTCAAACAAATCAAAAGAAACCTCCATGAGCTCCTGTTTTGAGTGTGATGACTGTTTCTCACTGCAATGCAAATCATCCCAGGTGAGTCTCGCAAACACTGACACGTGAAAGAAAGATCAAGTCACTGGCTAAACCGATCCAGCACTGCTTCCTCTGTCTAGATAAAGCACAAATGAGCTTCATTCATGAGCTTCAATGAGACATATGGGACAAACCCAAGATGTGTAAAAGATCAGGTCTCTCAGACTGGATTGCAAACAGGACAGATTTTTCATATGCAAATGGACTTGGAAGAAATGTGAATATTAAAAGATTTAAACAATATTTACCCCTTAAAACCAACCAAATAATATAAGTTGAACACATTTTTTGGCTTTTATTGATGTTTATTAGCTCTATGTCTGTGTGCTCCTCTTTATTTAGTTGACTAAATAAATAAACTTTTAGTATAAACTCCAAAAAATAGATTTTTTAAAGATGGAGTACAGAAGAATAAAGATTGGAATACATTCTACAAAAACATACAATTTCAGTCTTTCAGTCAAGTTTAGTTCAATGTTACTGGCCATTTCTTTGTAATGACTTGTGAAATTTTCTAGCAAAATCTAAATGAAAATTGTTTCAAAGTAAATCCTACAGCGTAGATACAAACCTATTTTCCTTTTATTTTTATAACCAGCTCACAAAAATATATGTTCTTAGAATGTTTTACTAACGTTCCCATTAAATTCATGAAAATGTTATTTCTGAACATTCAGTTTTTAAAATCTTTGTTTGTTTGTTTGTTAAGGGAACATTCCATTTTATCATTTTGCAAACATTATGGCAATGTTACATTTGAGTTTTCTCTAAACATGTCTTTTTCTCAAAACAAGTAGCAACACGTGATTACGAACATTCTAATAATTCTAATAACACAGAACGAACATTCTAATAATGTTACTTGATACTAATAATGTTTGTTCATAACTTTCAGAGAACTTTCTCTGGGTACAAGCATTACAGATCACACACAACAGCATACATGCTATATATGTCATCATATAATAATACACCTCACACTCTTTGCACAGTCTGCTGATAGCCGATAAACACTAGCTGATGTCCGTTGGAACAGTGGGAGACTGATTGCGGTGGGAACAGCAATGAACAATAGCTTTAGTTTGCCCACGTCAGGACATTCCTGGACATTCCAGAACATTCCATTGTCTGATCTCTCACAGTCTGTTAACCCGCACTGTTTACAAGAGCGAAACTCAAGACATAGTGATGACGAAGAGCCGGTCTCGCTTCTGTCTCTGCTCTGAGCTCACCAGCACTTCAACACGCTGTTGCACAAGGGAAAAGCGGGTCATTTGTAAATGTGCAAGACCGTTCCTGGCCCAGTTTTTCTCAGAGATCTGCTCCAAGAACCAGAAAATCCCGGAGGCTTCTAGAAGACTCTAGGAGGCCAGGCACGTCTGGAATCTGCTGGCTTGCTGCTCATCACAGATTCTCGTGAGCTCAAAGCTCTTGTTAGACCAGTTTTTCAAGTGTTTGAAGCATTTGAAGAGCTCAGGTCATAAACAACACACCTGTGTTTGAAGGGATGGTCTGATATCAGATGTGAGAGAACAGGTAGATGAGAGGCTGAGTGAATGATGGGCTGGACGGGATTTCTCAGTGTATTTTATGATTCAACAGTAATTAGATTAATCCATGGCAGCTTCGCTCAAGAAACCAAGGAACATTCTGTACATCCCTCAGGATCAGCGTGTCTGCTCAATGGCTTAAATGTAAATCTTTTTTCCAGGTTTTCTATGCAGTGGGTACAAAGATTTACATTTAAGTAAAAAAGGCCTGGGAAAGTTCTGAAACAGATAAACATCTGAATTTCTGAATCTTCCATTGAACCTCATTCCAACCATTAAAATCCTCAAAAACAAGTTACAAAACAAAACAAATAAAATAAAACAAAAGTAAAAATATAAATAAATACATTGTACCTAGTGCTGCAGCCTTAATTTGGTTTCAGGTATTCACAATGTAAGATATAAACAAAGATTATATATTTGTATTCTGTACACTCATGGAAAATAACTACTACAGGAACATAATATAAAATATCAAACAATCAGGAAATCAGACTTTTTAGCTTTCCGTGTAGTGACGAACAATATGTAGCACTATGTCTGTGCTAAAAGACTAAAACCTAACCGAAAAAATGACTGAACCGAAGAAATTACAATGAATATTAATTACGTCGCGCTCATTAATATTCATTACGCCAACCTCTTTAACACAGTCGCGTTCATTCGCGATCTGCGTAGCGCCCGCCCACCAGCGTCAGGCGTTTCGCCAATCGGTGAAGCCCGCTTGACGCGCGTCACGTGACGTACTTAATATAGCGCGTTCATTCGCGATCTGCGTAGCGCCCGCCCACCAGCGTCAGGCGTTTCGCCAATCGGTGAAGCCCGCTTGACGCGCGTCACGTGACGTACTTAATATTCATGAGGCTACAGTTACTTAGTATCAGTGGCGAGCGCTCGGACAGTGGATGATGATCATAAAGCTTACAGTATGGTGAGTACAGGCGATTATTCTGTTCGATAATCTGACAGACAGATGAAATACAGATTGGTGTGCTTTATGATCATGTTTTATTTAACATTTAAAGGTCTCCTTTAGTTTACAGTTTAGTTTACAGTAAACAGCAAAACTTCCTCATTAGTTTAGCATTAACTAATCACTGTTGACATTAACTGTTTATTATTTAAAGGTATTTTTATATCTCGTATCGCCACAGACCCCTGTCTATAATTACTGTAAATGATTCCAGTGATCTCTTTGCTTAATTTTTCGGTTTAGTCTTTTGTTTAATAGTGTTGTGTTGGAGAAAATAGCTGCATAATAGCAATGAGTTGAAGTCTTGGTTCATTAAATGTAAACAGTTGATAAAGAAGACATGTATATATATATATAAGATCAAGCTAAATGTCATTTATGTTGCCACCTGTCTACTGTAATTAATTTAATAACTAATTATTGCCGCTCTCTCAAGTATTATGTAAATACATATACATATTTTTATTTATACAGCTGTATATACAGTAATGAATGCACAAATCTGTACATCAATCTTCTGTTTCAGATGCATTCCATATTATTATTATTATTATTTAATAAACACATTATTATCCTAAAGAGCATGTTTTAAGAATTGGAAGATATAAACACACAACTCTGCTTCGTTACAGAAACAGTTGTGAGACATAAACTGAGAATCCAGAGAGAAAAAGACAAAAGAGTGAGAAATAAAGTCAGAAGTGCGAGATAAAAAGTCGCAATTGCCTTTATATTTTTTATTATTATTAATTTATTCCATTGGAAAAGCTCAAGTGTGAAATACAGGAACTGCTGTAGGAAGATATTCAGTATCACTCAATGTTCAAATAAAGGTGTGAGCATTAGTTTATACAAGTTCAGAGCACATGCATGTGATTTTGTGATGAATATAGCTAGCTTACACTGCCTGCTGTTCAGAAATAAAAATAACACATGAACCCGCAGGCATTATTCCATAATAAACGTTGTCATTTGACTTCATTGCATGTGAATGGCATCCAGTGATTATTTTGGAAATAATTGATTATCTAGCACTGATGTCACACAAATGCAGCTACACGCACGAGTTCAGTCAGACACTTACTGACCCAGTGACCTCGAATCAGCTGCGTTTCTGGGACGAACCACTGAATGAGGTTTGATCCTTAATGAAGTCTGTTTGATTAGACAAACTCGTTTCATATTCATTGACACGTCGGGCTCCAGACGCGAGCAGATAGTCTGATAGTGGCATTAGTGGATAAAGGTCTCTGTGTTAATTACTGGCTGTTTATTATAGCGCTGATATCAGAGCACAGCTGGCCTTGAATGCAGAAAACCGCTCTAATCCCAGCGATCTGCTCCGTGATCTCACGCAAGACCTTCTGTTTCTGGCTGAAGAGCTTCTTAATGTTCTCACAGCAGCAGAACACGCTCTCAGTCCTGTTAAATACAGTTACTTTCTTGCATTTGTGGGGTTTACGACCGCATTATTGCATGCTGCTTGATTGGAACCGCACTGGACAAGTTGTCTGTCCGTTGACCATTAATTAAGATTAGATTGATGAATTTTTGCACCTCAGTTGCATTAGTTTAGTTCCCAAACTGGGGTTTGTGAGGGAACTGCAGGAGGATTGTGAGTTATAAAAAATGTAAATAAAAAATAATAAAAAAGCATCATTAGGTGTTCATTCTCCTTAAACAGTGTTTAAAGTCAGTCAATAAAATAAAAGGTTTAAAACAAAGAAAATCAATAAATAAATAAATTTAAACTAAAAACAATCAAAATAAAACACTTACTGAAACAAGGATGAAATATTTAATTTGTGAATATGTTGCTAAATTATTGAAATATTAACTTAAACCTCGAGGAGACTTGAAGAAAATATTTAAGCTCAAATGGGTTCGGATGACAAAAAAGATTACAAAAATATAAAATGTATGTACATTTGAAATTATTATTATTATTTTTTTCAAACAAAACATTTTAACATTGCTCATCCTCCTTCAGTAGTGTTTAAGTCTATAAAATAAGTAAATAAATAAATAAGCATTTAAAATAAATAAAATCTATCAAATAAATAAACAATTAATAAATTAATTAACTGCCATCAAAAAATCACGAACATGTGAATATGATGTTAAATTATGGAAATATTAACTTAAAATGACAAAGAAAGTTTGGGAATCTCTGGTTTAGTAAATAATGTCATATTTTCAGTTATGGACGTCATAATGGAGATTTTCAGGCTCTTAACAGTGTTGCTGAGAGTGTGAGAGTCTTCTGTCTGTAATGTGAAATCCAGATTCTGGCTCTACCTGTTCCCAGGTGTTTGAACAGATCAGCTTCCCTGAGCGAATCCTTACTGCTCAAGTAATTCTAGAGCCTCACTGATGATGATATTAGTGGTGTTTGTTGAGCGTATAGGGGTGTTGTTTAGGCTTAGAGATTTTAGTTCAGTATTTGTAAAAGTCTCTATATAATGGCTATAAAGCAGTGAAGGTTTCCAGCAGCTGTGCTGGAGCTCTGGTTTCGGCGTTTCCAGTGCTCATGATGGTCAAACCCACATCCGCTGCTCCTCCAGTCTATAAACAAACTCTCTCTCTCTCTCTCTCTCTCTCTCTCAAACACACACACACACACACACACTCTCTCTCTCAC